TTTTAATAAATTAATTTTTAATTTAATTGATTTCCATAATAATTATGGAATTTAAATTATTGCTTTTCTGACATGGACATATAATAAAGACGCAATTGAATTAAAGCCTTGCCCTGTGTCCCTCAAATGAGGCAAAAGCACTCTCTTTCGGATAGAAAAGTCAGCACATACTGAAAGCAGACTGTGGTTACATCCACATGATTGCCATACTGGAACAAGCCCTATAATTACTCTTAAAAAAAAAAGGGATTCTCATCTCTTGCCATAAGAATAGGATTTCTAGATGTGCACTAGACTATTTGCCTTTAAGCTCCCCATGCTGGGTTTTGAGCTCATATTAAGTCTTTCTAGGCAGAAAAGTTTCCCAGGAACACTGATGGTGATCCCACTTTCAGACAATATTGCAATCCAGTGCTGGGACTTCGCTTCAGAAATGCAGCTTAAAATCAGTGAGCTTATCGCTCACTTCTGCACTTGATGCTCCTGAGCAAATTCAAGGAGGAGGAGGGCCTGAAGTATGCTGAAAGCACAACTCTGCTCAAATTATTTTGGCTGGCAAGCAAACCCCAATCCACCCATCTCCTGGTGCAACCAAAGCCCAAACACCAATACATGTCAGACCACAGGGTTACAACTCACAACTGGGAAGGAAAGGAGAAATACTGAAAAATCATATCTAAGACTCCTGAGAAGTGCACAAGACCCTGTGATGATGAAAAGCTGTGTATTGCACTCAGGAGATGGGAAGGTGGACCTTTGTCCAGACGTTGGACCTTTGTGCAGATGTTGGACCCTTGTCCAGATGTTGGGTCATTGCAGAGCACAGCAGCCTAGAAGGTTCCCACAGAGGGTGCTGGGGAAGAGCTTGGGCTGAGCTTGAACTTAACCAAGAGAGAACAATTCATTTATTTTACTCCCTGCAAATCCTGAAAGTGTGTTTGTCCTTCAGCAACATCCCTTGGTCTGCAGGCAAATTCTAAGCCACCGCATCAACAGATGCTGAGCACCTACTGTCAGTGCAAGCTATTTAGGCTGAATGAACCTGACAGCTTTTCTTCTAACTGGTGAAGTCAGTTCATCTAGATCTTGTTTCTCCCACTTTAGAGCTGTTCCTGTTTTTCTTGTTAAGTACTTATTATATGTTTCCCTTTGCTGGAGTGAGCTGCTGTTTGAACCCACAGTAACGCTCCTTGAAACCACTTATCCAAAGGAGGAGAAGAGCTCAAACACTCACACTGGGTGTGAACCATCAGCATAGAGAAGGGCAATCCAATTTAGACAAGCAGTGAACGGGCTGAGGGTGAAAATGCTTGGCTGGGAAGGGACCTTAGCCTGGGATCTCAACCATGATAGATCCAGACATGGAATAAGAACATCACCAGAAATGGAAAAGAACGTTTGGAAAAGTAATGGGAAAAAAACAACAAAAAAACCCTAAACAAACAAACAATCCCGCAAAAACCCAAACCAAAACTCGCCAGAAACAACTGGAACAGTCATAAAATCTGCATAAAGAAATCTACATAAACTCCAGTCTCCTGTCCTTTGGGGTTTGCCTATCCAGCTCCTCTCTTACCTGTCCCCATCACGAATCTTCCTGAACTGGGTGCCAATGATACAAGCCATGAGAGGCCCAACTCTGCCTCCGCTCACAAAGGGCTCTGAAAGTGCCCCAATCCAAATGTCAATATTCTTTGGTGTCCCATACAGCTGTAGGAACTTCTTTGCCAGACGACGATTCCTCAACACTTGAGCAAGTGTCTTCAATCCGGAAGGTTGTGAGAGCCCACAGAATTGTCTCCAGGAGTTATAACCTGCAAGGAGTTGGGTATCAGAGCAGACACAGGTCAGTAATGTGTTTCCTCCTCCTGGAAAGACTTTTTCCTCTTTTCCCAAAGCTGGGGCACAGGTAGGTACCCAATCTGTTTAAAATTATTTTCTTAAGTTTTCTGTATTTCTGTTAATGACAATGACTTTCCACTCCTCCAGAGCCAATTCATCCCACCTGGCATTTCAGTGCTGTTTGTGGAAGGGCCATGTATTTCCAAGTCACCTCTGCTAGTGGGAGCTGCTCCATCACCTTCCAGCGCTGTTTTGCTGCTCCGCTCAGGACAGTGGACAAGTACTTCCCCAAAGCTTCTCACTCATGTCCTGATCTAGCCAGAGGGACAAGCCATCCCACACTGCAAAGAGCTCCACATAGCCCAGGTTACTTCAGGTGGGAGAGGACCACTGGGCTTTGTGAGCTGGACTAATTTTTCTGTACAGCAAACAGCTGAAAATCCACTGGACCAGACTGGTGCATAATTCTGCATCTTGGTGGGCAGGGCACGTACCCAGCAAAGGGCAATTTGTGACTCAGTGTCTTATCAAATGACTGCTGAAGTAGAGGAAAAGTCTATGGAGCACTTAATGTGGCCTCCTACCTGCCAGCTCAGTGAACTGTTAGGTGCAGAGATGAGATGATGCTGCAGCATATGTCTCTGCTCTGAGCAGGATGTCTAAAAACTGGAGAGAATTCAGAGAAAAAGATACAGCATAGAGTGTCTGGATGACACCACTGTCAAACAGTTCAAGGAGACTGAGAATTTGCTTTATCAGAAAAAGAATTTGGAAGCTTTGTTGCTCTTGCTATACCGTCGTCACCTTCATAGGTTGTCTGTCAGCAAACAGTAGCACTCAGGGGTAGGCTGAGACCCAAAGACTGGGAGCTAAGCACAAATTCACACTAGAAATACCTGTCAGTTCCACTGCAGCAGATCAGCAGGCAAACCTATAAATTCAGGATCTATGGTTCAGATCAAGTTCTGCACAGTAGTGTTCCTAGATAAAATACGGAAAAATGGCAACCTTCTGCTGCAGCAAAGGCTGGGCAATCCTGGCCGTGCACCAGGATGTACTGCAAAGCCTCTGGGCTTGAATCCAGCACATTTTTCATCACAGTTTCAAAGTGAGCCCTATTGCATCTCCCAGGACGTTACTGATGCAGCAGCTCCAGGCACTTACATCAGCCTGATGACACTGTTAGGCAACAACACACCCACGAGCCAGTTGTAAAGTCCTATCAGCAACCTATTTCTCAAGACCATCTTGCAATACCATCATTCTGCTTTTGCACTTGCATGGCCCTGAGAGCCGTTCTGACATGTTTTTTTGTCTGGGGGACAGTCTTCATAGAGACATTAAGACAAGATTTTCCTCACATATTGTGATCTGCTCTTCCAGTCATATGTGGCCAGGCTGGACCACTACAGATGCAGGGAGAGAAGCCAGGGGGGACTTCTGGCCCTAATTCCACTCCTGCAAACCTGTTGCTGAACTACTTTCCAAATTTTGCCATTTGAACAACAGTACAGTTGCCAGTTACTGAACACGTGGCTTTGGTCTCTGCAATGCCCCATGTTCTCCTGGCCGTGTGCATCCATGTGTCTCCTCCAGCTCCAGCCAGGCTCTGACTTCATTGCTCAACCTCCTGGTCATTTACTATGGTTGTGCAGAAATGATGAAAAGGTTTGGGAAAGAGCAACTTCAGCCAAGCTCGGGCTGGAGATGTCTCTCAATGTTCAATCAAAAGAGTTCCTGATTTTCTCTTGCTTTTCTTTGGAAGCTCTGCTCCCACAGCCAACTTACCTGGGAGGCCATGGTCTCTGCTGCGCTGCATGTTAAGCGCAGGTAAATCAAACCCAATCCTTTCAACCTGCTCAAACATCCGATCCCGAAGGTCATCCACCACCATTTGCTGCTGTGTCATCAGCTTGGCCTGGTTGGCCATCAGGCTCCGGAGAAAGGGGTCAATACCACCTGCAATGGTCACACAGGGATGCATGAGCAGTGCAGGGTGGCAAGCGTGTGTTTAGGAGGCTGATGAGAGCTGAATGCAACTTATATTTAATTATTAGCTTCTACTACAAGAGAATAAATTTTCCTGCACTTAAAGCATTAAGAAGAAAATACTCTGAACAACGTTCTTAGAGACTACAGCAATTAAGCAATCAGACTGCATGCTTCATAATAAGATGGGCTGCATTTGACTGCTACGTTGGGAAAAACTCTGGCTGGTAGTAAATGACATTTAATACATTTATCACAAACTGCTTTTAAATTTGGCTGAGGCAGGAGCTCATTCAGAGGGTAGAAAAGGCTGAATGAAATAAACTTACACTACAGAAGTGCAAGAAGGGCTTTACCTTCTTTCACGATCCTCCAGACAGCAAAGAAGGCCTTTCTGAGCTGAATTTTGGGACGTATGGGCTTGTAATTTTGATCTAAGCGGTCAACAGTTGGGGGAATTGAAGCATGACCAAAGCGAAAAGCCAAAGTGAAGACATTGGATATTCGAGGATCCACAGACTCGTTGTAGCCCTGGTAGCGAGGAATCAGTCTCCGGAAACTGGTTCCCAGCAGAAGAGGGAGGTAATCCCTGTAGGTTATAATCTAGGGGGAAACAAGGAAAGTGTGAATCATTAATTGCTTGGTCATCAGTTTATTTGGAAGCAAAGTTAATTGCTCACATCTTACACCACAGGAGCTGCCACACTGAACTTCTTTGATGGGATTTGCGTAGGAGGTTTTGCTAGCACAGATGTGGAGCAGACTCCCCACGTCCTACGTTTCTTTCACCTCATCGGACCTTCACCAGCTCCTGTGGCAGTCTGGTGAGGGTCTTTTCTGACACTACTGAGTGACATTTTTGTTTCTGCAGCTCCATGGCCTGGGTTCAAAGCCTCTTCCCCACCTGGCCACTGTGCCATGCCACAGGTGGTGCAGCTGCAGGCACAGACATAGGCACTGCCTGGGCTCCTGGTTTCTCTAGCCAAGCATGGTAGGATCTATGCACTCTCTAGCAGTGATGAAACTTGTATGAACATGCACTGCCTTGCATGAAAATGCAAAGTGGACATAACTGTTCCAGCAGCATCAGGAAGCACAGAGAGAGCTCGTCCCTGACCCACACTCATCCTCTGCCTGTGCACCGGGATCTTCTGCCCGTTGGTGCAGAGGACTTGGCACTTGGGTCTTCCCAGACATGCTCCTCCCCGCCTCAACCGCTGGGCACTGCCAAATCCTCTCAGATATTCCCTCCTTGTCTAAAAGGTAGAGGCTATTCCCATCAGCCAGGCAGAACTGTGTTTTCTCCTGCCCTACACACTTCAGACGGCAGAGAAAAAGCCAACAGTGCTTTTTTGGCACAGATGATACCACCACCCATGGGCAGCTGTGTTAGTCCTGCCATAGCAGAGGTTTCCAACCCTGCTCTCGTGCCTCTTTGCGATATTGAGGAGACTGCACAACATAATTTAAAAATATCAAATTCTTTGTCAGTGGGTGAAAATGTCTTAATTGTCTGAAAACTGCAAGATTAAACCATCGATCTGAACATGATGATGGATACAATGCCTTTAGTGCAATTGTTTGAGTCTCTCCACATTGGCTTACCCAGCATATTTATTCAACAATACTATAATATTTAAATTGACAGTTTTAAAAACTTAAACTTTTTTTATATTCCTGCTTTTCTCTTTTGTATGTTTGTTGAACCAGCTCAGAAGATAGGTTTCCAACCACGTATGACTAGGCACTGCTTTTGGAAACTCCATGTCTTCTTCTCTCATAGGAGCCAGCCTTTTCTGTTGGCTTTGAAACCTCATCTGGCGTTGAAGCTGGTCCTTCTCCAAACTGGAGGCTGGACAGGAGACCTCAAGAGGTCCTCTCCAAGCACAGAAATATTTCCGGGACCCCAGGACCTCATCCAGGGCAAAGTTTGTGGTGCAGCACAGTCCCGTGGGGCTCTTTGCCACAAATGCCATGGCTGGGTGCACCCACCAGCACATGGGGCTTCTTGAGAGGCCCCATGAGAAGCTCACAACCCAGAAGAATCTTAATCCAAATCTCCAATACCATTCTTATCTGGTACCAAACACTGGCTAGAAAAACCTTTCCTCTAACTTTTCTGTCCCAATGTTTCTCAAACAGAAATGTGCAGTTAAAAACCCATCAATCAATTTGGAAATTTAACAGTAGAGGGACATCAGGGAGACCCCTCTGTTCTTGTTATTTCAGGTATCCCCAGTTGATTTTGTTTTGGATTAAAGGGACTGGTGGAAAGAATTTGGTCATTTGCACCCCAAAATATTGCACCCTTTGGACACCTCCCACTAACAAATCCCACCACATTAACTCTGTGAGACTGCAAGACAGGGCAGCAGCGCTGGGACATACAACGTGGTGGCCGGTACCTGGATCATGGCACCAAGGATCTTCCGTGCCTCCTGGTAGAGCTTCTCTCCATTCCAGTGGGGATTCAGCCTCTTCAGCCCTCGAGCCAGGCGGTTGTGCTCCCGCAGAAACAGCGTGTGCATGCACACCAGCTCCAGCATCTCGTTTGCCCGAAATTCACCTAGGAGTATTACAAGTGAGCAGACCCGTACTGCCAGGGACCTGCCTGTGCTCGGCTGCTGCCCACTGGGAGGAGGTGAATGTCACACAGGGTGAATGCACAGGGGAACATTTAGATGTCTTGATACCTGCATCATGAAGGAGATGGGTAAGGAACACACAGGAGGAGAAGGAAACCAGGGTCTGGGCCCTGAGGGTTGGAGAGCACCAGTGAAAAGCCTAATTTCTGCTGAGGCAGCAAAAGCCAAGAAGCCACCATGGTTGTGCTCAGCATCACAAGATGGGGAAAGTTGTTTTTTCCCATGAGGGCTAGAAGCATTAACTTCAGAAGCTAAATACAAGTAGGTGTTCTTCGGGCTCCCATATCAGAGAGACAGCCTCACAGCTCAAAAAGGGAAATGAAAATGGGCAGAGGGAAGTCAGGATGGCCAAGGGAGCTCTGTTAGTCCCAAGGCATCCTTTAAACCAGCTGAAACTGCAGCCAACTCAAGATGACAGTCACAATCGAGCTTTCTGGTGGGTAAAAGTAAGAGCAAAATGAGTCACAACTTGAAGGAATAAACTACAAATAGCATTACTATGAAATATTAAATCCTTCTTCAAACATCTAGGGCAGGAAACCCAAGAGCAAGCAGGTGATGAGAGTATAAAGAGGCACTCAGAGAAAAGTAAATATGTCGTATTTAGCGTCCTCGTCCCATAGTAAATAGAGAGATTTGCTCTTGCATTCAGCACAGAGCCCTTTTCATTTACTGTCAAAGGCCGTCTGTGCCAGACTGCGGAAGCAGAAACAAAAGCAGCCCTGTGAGGTTTCCTCGAGCAGAATGCATCCACCCAGGGCTTCCAACAGTGCCAGCATGAAATCGCTAAACCTTGTTAGGCAACTTCACACGGAAAATTTCCCCAGTTCTCAGGGACCGGAAAAGTCACAAATAAGACACTGAATTTTCAAAGGAGCGTCCGTGCCAGCCTGAACCATTCACTATAAATTCATTGATGGCCGTGTACCCAGCTATGGGATGATGACTACTCCGGCAGCCCCCGAGCCGCAGAGCGCTGGAGACTGGGAGCCCACCCTGGGAAGCATCTGACTCGCCTGCCCGTTCTGCTCCTCACCAGGCACCTGCATCTGGCTATGGGTCCCATGTGGTCCTCACCAAGGAGAGACCTGGGGCAGCAGCTGAAGACATGGAGCAATGGATGGGACAGATCATGGAATCACAGCACGGTTTGGGAGGAAAGGGACCTTAAATATCTACTCCAACCCCCTGCCACGGACACTTGCCACCAGACCAGGCTGCTCAAAGCCCCTGTTCAAGCCCCTGGCCTTGAACAGGTACATACAGGTATGAGAGGCCAAAGGAAAACAAAGACACCAAGAGGCCTTTTAAGGCACTGGAGGATGACACCAAGCAGACCTCTCCCATTGGTACCACCACCAGGTCCTGATGGTGTCCAAGGACCATGGGGATGTTGTCCAGAGGAGCTTAGGCCAGATATGTAGGGGGGCAAGGGAACAGAAATCAGCTCCACAAAAGATGAGATCTGTTGTGCCCTCAAGCCTTCTCCAGCAATGCCATGAGCCATGCTGTGGCCAGAGCCAGCAGGAGTTAGCCAAGAGGCTCTGCTGGCCAAAAATAAAGGACCAGGGAGTGAGAGACTGATTCACAAAGTGTACCAGGAACAACCCTCTCTGAAGTCCTGCAGACTTGTGGCAACATCCTGGTCCTCACTGGCAAGGGGATGGGGAAAAAGGAGCAATGCCCATGGCTTCAGGAGGTCAGGTATTTTGGTCCCGTGTGCTGGGGACAGGAGAAGACAGCAAATGGCAGCAGACAGGAAGGTTGTGGTGCCTGTACAGTGTTTTGGGGAGAGTCACAGCTTTGAGGGGCTGTGAGCAGAATAAGAGGAGTTAGTTTGGATTGAAGAAATAGAAGGATACCAAAAATGTGACAAAGGATAAATGGAGCAGGAGGCTATCTCAGTGGGCTCAAGGCCTGTGTTGATATCCGGGTTGGGGTGCTGCCAGGGCGCTCCCTACCCTCAGTGCTGGGGACACATCTTTAAAGGACACCGTGGTCTGCACCTCGTTCATTCTCAGTCCAGCTGGGATCCTCGTTCCTCGCACAGTGCAGCAGATGCACTGACACACAGCAGCATGGGCAAATGTTGCGCGGAGGCGACCAGCCCAGCGCCAACACAGCTGTACCCATCCTTATGGAAGAGAGACAGCCACCAAATGACAGGCATGGAAAAGCTGTTGCTTTCAGGTCAGTCTGTTACTGCTGCGTTCGCTGGGCTCCATCCAGGAGCCTCATACGGCACTGGTTCCCAGGCCACCTCCAGCAGTCCCACTTCCACACTTACAGTCACAAAGAAGACTTGGAGGCAGTGAAGCCTTTTCTTCTACCTAGCACAGCCTGTCTCAGTCTTTCATGATGTTTTGCTGCGCTCCATTTTCTACTTGGACAAGAAAACCAAGCAGTTAAAGAAACAAACTGGAGCTGGTGGAATCACTTGCTCTGGATTTCAAGGGTGCCAGCAACCAACTTACCTGCAAGAAAGCAAGGAATTTTAGCTTCCTTGCCGACTATGAGGCAGGGGTCCTTCTGCCCACTGTTGAAGGGCATATATGCCTTCCCCCTATCAGTGAAATTCTGGTTAACAGCCAGCAAGCCCAGCTGGTTGGTCTGATTCCTCAGTTTGTTGGCCAAAGGCACCTCACTGCCATACACCATGCTGCCGTCAAGAAAGGAGGTGAGCGCGTTGATCTGGTCCCGAATTGCCCTGCCACTGGTACAAGCAGGAGCTGAGCGGAAGAAAGGAAGACAATCTCTTGTGTCTTTAATTCGTGGGTCGTTGGGTGGGATCTGCAGTAAGAGAAAGGAATAATTCATCACCACTTGAAACCCGCACTGTGATACTAACAGCCATAAGAAAAGCCAGGCAGGAGCCATTTCAAAGACAGTCTGCATGCTAGATAGCATGAAGATCAGTCATAAATCCCAGACACAAAGGGTCAGATTGACTCATCCAAGTCCCAGATATGCATGAAAGCCTGGAGATGCTGAAATGTCCATAAAGTCCTATGGATACCTAACCTTTTTCCTCCAAATAGATACATATCGGATTGAATCTTAAATGCTCAGGTGTTCCTATCTCACGCTGGAGTCTAGTGTCCATATCTACGTTGTGGACAGTTGTCACCCAGAACTTCTTGCCCTGTCTGCATTCTCAAATGCATGCTGGGCAGATGCTCAGTGATGCTCCATCCCTTCACAGTTTTCCTTGGAAGGAAATACTGGTACATGGGAGAGCCAGAGCTGCAGTACATCCTGAAAGGCAGGAGAGCAGGGTGGACATGTACATCATCAAGCATTTAGCAGAGCAGTAAATATGCAATGTGGCTATTGTGCTAATGCTTTAGCCACTATTGAGAGATGCTCATCACTTCCTTGTCCTGTGCTGAGCATTTAACCATCAAACAGGGTATTGACACTCACCAGCTCCTGTCTCTGACACATTCACTGTAATCCAGGCATCATCCATGTTGCCTTTGCACCAGACCTCCAAAGCAAAGCCATATTGTTGAGGAAGAAGGATAAATTGTTGGAAACAGGGGAAAGCCAGGCTGTGACTGTGCCTGACATCTGGTGACACTCTGTGGGACCCAGCATGGCCAACTTACAGAGAGGGGTCTGACCCCCTTGGCCTGCTCTGGGAAGATGTCCCTCCATGGCTAATCACACAGAATCACAGAATGTGAGGAGTTGGAAGGCACCTCAAAAGCTCATCCAGTCCAACCCCTGCCAGAGCAGGATCACCAGACCAGGTCACACAGGAACACGGTCAGGCAGGTTTTGAATGTCTGCAGAGAAGGAGACTCCACAACCTCTCTGGGCAGCCTGGTCCAGTGTTTCATAACCCTCACAGTAAAAAAGTTTTTCCTCATGTTCAGGTTGAACCTCCTGTGCTCCAGCTTCCTCCCATTGCCCCTTGTCCTGGCATTGGACATCACTGCGAAGAGCCTGGCTCCTTCCTCCTGACACTCGCCCTTTACAAATTTACAAACGTGAATGAGGTCACCCCTCAGTCTCCTCTGCTCCAAGCTGAAGAGACCCAGCTCCCTCAGCTGCTCCTCATAAGGGAGCTAAGGACTGGGAGAGCCACCAACATCTTCTGGTTGGACTGGAGATGCCTCTCCTCCCCTCCCCTGCAAGAAGAAGGCTGGCCGTACCTTGATGGGAAAGCAAGGGGGCTGCTTGGCACAGCTGGTGTCACAGTCCGCCTTGCCACGGAAGGCAACTCTGGCCGGGGTTTGCGGAGTGAAATCCAGGTCATGGTCAACAAACTGGCCCCACTGCATGAACATGCGTGATCTCTGCTGGTCCAGCCTGAGCTGCTCGGGAGGGAAGCGGACAATCTCATTTGAGACCTTTCGAACCTGCAAGGGATGAAGGGAGAACAAGTGTGTTAGGGAATCATTTATATGAATAGGTGTATCAGTTTGTAGGGTCATCAGCAAAAATTCACAAAGCATGAATTCGTTATACTTCACAGACAAACCCGCAAATCTCTGTTTAAGTTGGAAGGCATTACTTTGCTAAGCACTGAGCTCTTCTGGCTTTAGCCAGGTTTCTGAGCTTCCAGGCCAAGAGCATCCCTTGATGGACACATGGAAGCAGCTAGGCAAGAGCTGAACAGCCTGGGAAAGGGAGGCAAAGGATTTTTAAAGACTGCTTTGAAATAGAAGAGTGGAAAAAAAAGTAACTGGGAATTTCTGAAGGTTTTATCAAAAAATCCCTTCCAGCAAGACACTTTCCCAAATCCCTCTTCTCATCTCATCCTTTCTCCACTCATCACTACTCCTCCCACCAGTTTCCCCATTTACAGAAAAAGAGGTCACAGCTCTGCTAAGGATTTTAAAAGACTGCTTTGAAATAGAAGAGTGGACAAAAAAAGTAATTGGGAATTTCTGAAGGTTTTATCAAAAAATCCCTTCCAGCAAGACACTTTCCCAAATCCCTCTTCTCATCTCATCCTTTCTCCACTCATCACTACTCCTCCCACCAGTTTCCCCATTTACAGAAAAAGAGGTCACAGCTCTGCTGTAGCCCTGACACTGCTGTTGGAAGCACAATGAAAGCAGAAGCATAAGGCACACAGCCCAGAAAACTGCACAGCTCCTCACTAGTGCTGATGTTGCACCAAGCCCAAGTGGTCAGGAGCCACTTCAAAGCGTTCCTGCTCCCCTTCACACACCCCACAGATCACCCATCGACCCACTTGCAGAATTTCTAGCTGGATATTTTTTATTCTGGGAATTCCCTTGTTCATTTTATCCTCTGGCATACTGAGTTTCAGGAGACAACCAGCTTCCACAAACCAAATCAAAAGAAGGTGAGCAAACTGCTTTGGCTTAAATGCACTGAATTTAAAAGAACACATTGCATAATTCTTTCTTAATCCTGCACTTCTACAGTAACCAGAATAATTTTCCTTTGCTTTTCCTGAAAGCATGAGAGTTAGAAAGCATTTCCGTTAGATGTCCATGGAGAGTCTCCTATGATCAACCTGGTGAACGTCAGTGCCTCCTTCCGATCACCACCACCAGGCCGGTTGGTGGACGTGTGCTTTGATGCCTGCGATCTCTCCGAGCCCCAGCAGTCCCTAAGCCCTGATACTGCATTTTCAGATGCCTGCTATAAAGCTTACCAGAGGTAAGGGGAACCCAGAGAAACGCTTTCCTTCCGTCCACCCACGGGGGACCGACACGCCGTCCTCATATTCTGCTGGCAGCCATCTGACCAGGGCTCTGTTTGAGGCGCCCAGTGATGGGTTTCTCCTGTCGGAGTAAACACAAGAGCAGCAAACTATCAGTGGTGTTAGGATCCTGGCAGGGCCAAGAGCTCACGGATCTGAAGAGAGATGGGAACCTTGGTAGGGTGTCGAGGTGCAGCTGTCAGGAGCTGCTACAGCTCCGTGGCCCTATGGGCTTGGTGTTGCCAAATGCTAGCAACAGGCCTCAGGTTCAGTAATAACAACAATAACCGAGGTACACACCAAGCCTCTGCTCCTTCCAGGCAAGAAGCCACGGTGCTGGCGACTCCTTATGTCACTCAGCCTGGATAAGGGCCCTTGTCCTCAGACCCAGGGTGGAAAACAAAGATCACAGAATCACAGAATATGAGGAGTCAGAAGGGACCTGAGAAGCTCATCCAGTCCAACCCCTGCCAGAGCAGGATCACCAGACCAGGTCACACAGGAACATGGCCAGGTGGGTTTTGAATGTCTGCAGAGAAGGAGACTCCACAACCTCTCTGGGCAGCCTGGTCAGTGTTTCATAACCCTCACAGTAAAAAAGTTTTTCCTCATGTTCAGGTTGAACCTCCTGTGCTCCAGCTTCCTCCCATTGCCCCTTGTCCTGGCATTGGACATCACTGCGAAGAGCCTGGCTCCTTCCTCCTGACACTGCCCTTTACAAATTGATAAACATGAATGAGGTCACCCCTCAGCCTTCTCTGCTCCAAGCTAAAGAGACCCAGCTCCCTCAGCCGCTCCTCAGCAGGGAGATGCTCCACTCCCTCAATCATCCTTGTGACCCTGCTGGACTCTTTCAAGCAAGTAAGAATTAATAGAAATTATCTGAACTGTGAGCATTACTATGCTGTAATTGGACTAAATAATTATAGTTTGATTATACCGCTAAAGTCTTAATTAGACTAATCATACATTTAATTGTGAAGTGCATGTATAAGATGCGTTCTCTGGCTGCCTGTCTCTGGCTACACTGTGAGTGTAACACTGACTAGGGCCAGGCGAAGAGGGGCACAGCACAGAACTGAGCCCACCCTCACCAGGGCTTCAGGGTCTGGTTCAGGTGTGATGGACCCATCCCTGCCCCAGAGCTCAGATCCCACTCCTGGATGAAGCCACAACTTTCTGAATGTGGACGGAGGCAGGTAGCTCTCTCCCTGCTTCATGTAGAGATACCTGAAGTCTAAATCCTTCCCCAGGCAGGCAGACCTGTCCAATCTCCTGAGGAGCTCCCAGGAGATGCTCTGCCTCAAAGGTTCTTGGAAACAGGGGAAGGATGGGGAATGCTCCTATACTGTCCCTTATAAAACACTCCATGGTTTAGCTTCCCTTTCATCACACTAGGAAAACTCTGTATACACTGGGAAATAGTTTTTATATCCCGCATTACAGTCATGCCCATCCATTTGCCCAACCATGAGATATGCACAAGGGGCTCTCTCCCAGCCCGTGTGCCCAGGTTTCCTCCCAGGCACAATGTGGGGCATGGAGATGGCGAGATCATGCCCCATGTGGGTTCTGGTCAGGAGGCACTTTGAGACCCTGCAAAGGGGCAGAAGCAGGTAAAAAGACCAGGAGAAAGCAGAAAGGTGCAGCTTGAGGACAGAGACCCTGGGCTGGAGGGTCAGTCCCCAGCACAGAGCTGTTTGCATTCTGGCCAAAGAGCTAATTCATGTACCACACCAAGACCCCTCAAAGCAAGACTAATTAAAATTACTCGTTTAGGAAACAACACTGTGGGGTGTAAAACCCTAAAGAAGAGACCCTACGTGGACCATTCTTGGGAATGTGAGCCTGGTTCTGCTGATGGAGGACCCATCCGTCCACCCTGCTGCTGACACCTCCCCTCACCTGTTGTTGCACTCCCCAGTGACTGTCCGGTAGTGGTGAGGAGCGTCACAATTTATTTTCTTATCCTGCTGGTCACATCCACTTGCATTGAAAACCATCCCCAGCTGAGTTGGAGTGAGCAAGTCTGCCAGGAAAAAACAGAGAAACAAGCGGGAAGACACTGGTCCTGCTGGGTCTGCCGTGCTCCCACGCTCAGGAAAACGCTCTCCTTCTTGTACCCTTGTAATGGCTACTTATCACAGCATCACCCAGAAGAGCACAAGGGGCTCTCATTTAAGGTCTTCCTGCTCAAAGATGTGCTGAGGATGGTCTCCAGAGCAGCAGGTTGCTTTTTCTGCTTTGGAAAGCATTAAACCCAACAAAGTTGAGTCCTTCCTCTCCCCTCCCTTTTTATCTCCACCATAAACTTCTAACAGCTACAGTCACTCTAGTGGTGTGTTACAAGTGTTTTCCTGCTGTGAAGCAGCCACCGGTGTGTACCACCACTGTCCAGAGCTACCTGCAAAGAAACCACCAGGTGAGTGGGCAGCATGAGGGGACGCAGGCTTTGCATTTCCCCATGCACAGGGAATAAGAGGCCGAGGTCAACCAGCAAAGCCTTCTTGGCTATTGCTGGCACAACACGTCCCAGTCCCTTGGAGGTTTCTTGGTCACTGCTGCCACCAACAGTTTGTGTCACCGCATGGTTTCAGAAGCCACTGCTGCCTCCTGGGCAGGGGGATGAGGGGTGGCAGCCAGGTGGTCTGGCAAGTCTTCGGAGCAGAGCTGGAGCATTGCTCCTGGATGGATAGGCTGGACAGGAGCACACTCAGCCCTGCCTCCCTGTCCTGGCTTCTCTGGGAGGGAATCATAAAATCAGTTTTCTATTCAGGAAAGCTGCATTTTTGAGAAGACTGCAGTACTCGATTTAGTGGGAACAAAGTTGATCAAACAGTGGTTTAGTTTGCACCAGCCCTGGTATGCAGACTGTTGTAGTCATCAAGGTTTTTAGCAGTTTTGAGTTAGCCAGCTGCAAAAGCCAGGAGGGAGCAAAAGCCAGAGCAGCTGAGACAAGGTGGCCAGCAGACTTATCCCATACCATAAGCTCACCATAAACTGAGGAATTTGCTTGGGATGGCCCTTTCTTTCCATGTCAGTTGGCAGCTCTGGCAGGGCTCTCCTGTCATTCTGCTCCCAACACCACCCCCTAAGCTCAATGTGACCACCACACTCTCACTGGAGCTGTGGCACTCGCAGTGGTTGTCATCTCACATGCACAGCCTGTGACCACTATATGGGTTGAGTATAACTATGTATTTTATATTAATACTGGTATTAATATGAGTTTCTTCGTATTATTTTATTAAATCTGTTTTTATTTCAACCCACAGGTCTCCTTTCCTTTTCCCGATTCCCCTCCTCAGGTGGGGAGAGGTGGCAGAACAACTGTCAAAACAACGACACCCCCTTGTCCCCCCGTGCTGGGGCGATGCTGGAGCACCCCGTGAGTGGTCCGTGCCCTGTCAGTGCTTTGCCGTGGCACAGGGGATCCCCGTGAGGTCACCTTTACACACAAGAGCCCTTCCTGTGCCTCCCTGCACTGTTTCTCCCACCACCCCTAATTCACCTCCTGCTCTGAGCGATCTGCCAGGAGGCCGGGACTGCCACCTCATGGAGACATCGCTCGTCAGGACGCACTATCCTGAAATGTCCTTTCTCATTGCTGGGCTCTCATTCTCTATTTCTGCCTTTCCCACAGCATCCCGTTCCTGACACAGAACAACCTGGCAGTGACTCTGCTTATTGCTCCGGCAGAAAAGCTGCTTACTCTGGGGCTGAGCTACCATGAGTCACGTTCTCTGCGCCTGCTCAGTCCCCACGCAAGCAAAAGGACGTTATCTACCAGCTTCGACCCCCTGGTACCTTAACCGCTAATCACAGAAAGAGCCAAGGAAGTGCACAGAGCACTTCCATTAACTGATAAACCCCCAAATAATTTTTTAAGATGGAAACAGAGCACAGAAAAGTAACCCAGCATTGCCTCGCTGCAGTCAGGTAGCAGGTGTTTGAGTCGTGGCCCATCATGACCCTGTTCATTCCCTCTTCCCAAGCCCCACAAAGCCCCAGTGACCATCCCTGTATCTTCCTCCTCTGCCCTCCTCCCAGCCAAGCGAGTTCCCTACCTGTGACATTGAAGTCCCCCCTCACAGCTCTTTGCAGCTTCTCCTTGAGGAGGTTCAGGGTGGTTTCCACGTAATCTGCAGCCCGAGCGGCAGCCCGAGTCCCCGCCACTGGCTGTTTGAAATATCCCAGCAGCTCCACTGGGGTCAAGGCGTCATTCTGCAGGTGCTGCTTGGTGCTGCAAGGAAGAATAACACTGAAAGGGGGCAAAGCCAAGAGTCCTGCAGGTCACAGACCTGAGCCCCAGCTCTCCTGGCACATTCCGAGTCTGAATTGTGAACAAACACAGACATCTGCCTCCCTGAGGTGGCTGGAGGAGACCAGGGCTGCTCCGGTCACACTTGGCAGAGAAGTGGAGTGAGCTGCAGGAAGGGAATCTCCTGTTGCCCAGCTCCACCTCCCAGGAGACAAATTTCAGGTCTTCAAATCCTTGAGGCAACCAGACCTCACTCAACTTCAGTTCATCAATATCTGCAGGTGCCAGTCTCCATCCAGAGCTCCCAAATGTCTCCAGATCACCCTGTCTTAATGCTGCTGGAGCCCCAGAGAGCTCTCAGGTGGGGGGCTCCCTGAGCCAGCGAGGATGGTGACTGGAGGAAGATACGTGTGGGCTTGTAGGAAGCTGTACACTCCCAAACCACAGCAGCAAAGCTGGGGTCTCCTGTCAGTCCCCTCAAAATGTCCTCTCTACAGCCTGCAGCAGTCTGCTCCCTCCATTAGCGGTGAACCACCAGGAATCAGCAGGAGCCTGTGCTGGCTTCAGTCCTCCTCGGGACATCCCTGGGGAATCAGAAGGAACCAAAGGCTGCTGAGCTGGGAGGAACTGCAGGCAAAGAGCAGGGCAGGGTTACGGATCTTAATGACCCAACAGGCTGGAGATGCGGTGTGAAAACAGGGTGAAGGCAGACAAAATGCTGGGTTACGGCCCACCCTGCTCCCAGAAGACCTTACATCCCTGCCCGCTCTGCCAGGGAGAGGAGGCAAAGCTGGTGCTGCCGCAGCGAAGGGCTGCAGCCCATGGCAGCACCACACAGCAGCGGCCGAGCCCAGCCCTGACCCTCACCGCTCACGTGTGTGCTTGTAGGCTGTGTCCACCAGCCGCCGGGCCTCCTCCACGCTGCTCAGCAGGGACACGTCCGACCTCAGGAAGAGAAAGAGCAGAGGTGAGTGAGAGCGCTGCCTCCCACCCTGGAGCAGCCCTGGGCTGTGGGGGGTCTCCTGGTGCCCCCAGCACCTGGGGATGTTGGTGCAGCACAGCTGCTGCCCCCCAGCTCTGGGTCTGGGAGTCACTCCCAGGCATGGAAAGGGCATCTCCCTCAGTGGAGGCTTCAAACAGTCACTGCCAGAGATGCAGGCATCCTCATTCCTGCCGTTTCACAGGAGAGCCGTTGCTGTTTCTTCAAGATATTTTGCAACCTCAGTTAATGTGACTCATCTTATTTCTACGCCTCCAGCTGTAGTTCCCTTCAGACAGCCTGCACAGACACCACTGGCTGCTGTGACAAGCAGCAAGAGCCCAACCTTAGGAGCTCCCGTCTGCTGTTTTCTCATCACTGTCTCTACTCCCCCACTTTTTATCCTGCGTTGGTTTTAGCCATGTTGCCAATACACCTACAGTGAGTGTGGATCTTCCCCACAGCACCAACTGGCCAAAGCTTATCCATATCCCCCCCATACCTCGAGGCAGGAGGAGACACAGCCCGACTTCCCCACTGCTTTTCCCAGTCTGTCCTGCACCCTCCTGCCACTCTCACTTCTCTCCTCCTGCTTGGGGAACCTCCCAGAAATTAATTTCATCCCCATCATTTGCTGGCTGTGGGTCACAGAGCAGGAGGGGACAGGCCCTGGTGGGCTTTGCCAAGTGATAGCATTTTCCTACAGCTTCTAGGGAAGAAGAAAACTTCAGATATCAGCACGAAGGGGATAAACATTTCCAAATTCTCCCCGGATTCTTTAGAATATCTTCCCTGATCAACCCAGAGTTCACCTCTTTCTTTGACAATCTTGGTGAGAAAAGTTATTGCCTGGACCACCACTGGGGACAAAGAAAAGGTCAGACATGTGCTTTCCATAAGGATTTTACATCATAAATTAACAGGCAGAGGTCTTGACGTGTTTTGGAGCAATGATTCAGGGCTGGAAGAGAGCTGAGAGACTGCCCCATCCCCAAACCGCACAGTCCTTGGCAGCTCCAAGCCACCAAGCGCTGTGGCAGCCGAAGAGAGATCAGTGCGAAAAGAGACAATAATTCATCCTCCCCCTGCAAGCAGGAACCAGCCCCCCCAAGAAGGAGGGAGTTTGGTTTTCAGCCTCCATCGAAAATAACACCGGTGCAGTGGGGAAGCTGCCGGCTGCACAAGGCTGCTGTACCATGGGGACACAGCGGTTCTGAAAACCGACATCTCCTTTTACGTGATTTTAAGAAATCAGATAGGAAGTTAACTGCTAAAAACACGCAACAGCCGGGATTGCTGCCACAGCAGATACAAACTGACTGTGCTCCTTCTGACACCTCTTCAGGACTTTGCTGCTTATAGGAGAATAACTCAGGTTCTCCTGGACTTAAAAGCCCCTGATCTGCAAAACCTAAGAAAAGGACAATACCATGGGAAGAAGATGCAGATGCCTGGAGCAGGCCGAGGAACACCAGCAACCCCAGAGAGGTTTCTGCCTTCATCCCTGCAAAGAAATGCAAGAAGTGAAGAAAAACAAGAAGCCGTGGATCTCACTGCACACTGGAGAGGTCAGTGCCCACGCTGCTGATGGCACCGTTAAGGGAGCTTACAAGGTGTCCCATTCCTCATGCAGTGCTCTCCCCAGGAGCAAGCCTGGGTGGTCCTTGCAGTGGCCTCCTGTCCTGGGGACTACACACACAACTCTGGGACTATAGGGACAACACAACACTGGGCAGGACGCACCACCTGGACAGCAACTTCGAGTGTGCAGGAACAGCTGCCAGAGGGGAAGAGGGATCAGCTGGGGGGTCCTTTACACATAGCCATTATAGGGTGTTTTTGCCCAAAGTCGATCCACTCACCCTTCAAAGCGGCTCCAAAGCAGTCAGCTCTGTCAGAACAAGCCCAGAGCTGTGGGCTGTGCCTGCTGCACATCGCCCAGCACCCACCGTGGAGCCAGCAGCAAAGATAGCCCAGGGTCCACCCTAAAACGCTGGGCTAAGCCCATTCCCCGTGGAGGAGCCCTGGCAACAGCAGCAGCATGGCCCAGCTGCGTCCTCGCTGTGCTGCGGCTCTGCCAGCCCTGGGGCAGAGGGGCAGCCCTCACACCTGCAGTGAGAGGTGCAGACCTCAGCCAGGTGCCCCATACACAGCCCTGGCCCCATCTGTGGTCTGAGGGCTCCACAAAAGCAAAAGCAAGGATGAACGGGCCAGGCTCTCACCTGTGATCTTCTGCTGTCCTCACCCCGGCCTCTCTGCGCCTGTGGTTTTATCTGTGGCGAGGTCTTATCTGCAGCAGACGCCGCAGTGGGGCTGACCCGGGCACTCCCCCACGGGCACACGAGGCAGCGCAGCACCCACCTCCCACCCCATTGGTCTGGGAGTCTGCCGTGCACCCATCTGGACACACAGCCTGACACTCAAGCAGAGCTTCCCCTGGTTTTTGGGTGGGTTTTTTTTGGGGGGAGGGAATGTAAGGCAGCACTTTGCAGTCGTTTGAGCATCACAGTTCCTTCTGGGGATGTCTTACAGGGACAGGAATCCCTTCCCCTGGGTGCTTTTCATCCTTCACTGCTCTTAAAGGTCAAAAAAGATGTCTTCATATCCACCTACGGAGGCACCAGCTCTGAGGGGTCTGTGCTCTGCTCACCATTCCCCATCTCACCTTCCTAACCTGCCCTGCTCCGTGTCCTTCTCATAGTCTAGAGAGATCCACAAATGCTGCTCCCGCTGCAGTTCCCTGCACAGGCAGGAAGAGGCACCTGGATGAGGGGCTGGATGGGCTCCGCCAGCTTCCAGCTGTTCTGTGCATGAGGCGGCTCAGGGAGGGGGTCTCGCCCTTGCCCAAGTTGCTGTTGAGCTCATCTGGCAAAGCCCCTCGCCCTGTCCCAGTGCAGATCTGGCTGATGGCCTCACCGTGTCCCAGCTGTGTGGTGGGATGCTGCTGGATCACGTGAAGGATGTGCTTGATCAAGAGATGTACAGAGGAGCCAAGGAGCTGCTCCCCTCACTGCTCCTCAGCTCGCTCCTAACGAATTGCACACTGCAATCGTGGCTTAACTTCAGTAACAGAAACTCCTCGGTTTAGCAGCACAGACCGAGAGCAGCCCACCATCTGCCCGTGTCGCCCCGGGGCAGGTTACATGAATGTCTGTCAGTGAACTCCCCCCTGCGTGGGCACCTCAAGAGACCACAGGGGTTGTACAGTGCCCCCAGCAGTGACCGCAGGTGTCCCTGTCCCCGGTGGAGCTGTCCCCTCTGATGCACTGTACAGGTCCTTCAGGGCTTTAAGGAAAATCTGCAAGGCAAATGGCAAGTCCTGCAATGAGTCTCCTGCCTGTCTGCAGAGCCCTTGTCCAAGGCAGGTTTGGGCAGAGTGGAGTGGATTCACCCAGACCACAGGAGATGCAAGAAGAGCTGAGAGCCGGGTTTGGTCAGCTTGGAGGGAAGAAGGTTCAGGGGAGCCTCTACTGGCTTCAGCCGTCCCACAGGGAGGTTACAGAGCAGACGGAGACAGGGTCTTTTCCAAAGTGCACAGTGAAAGCACGGGAGGCAACGGGCACTGGTGGGGCAAAGAAAATTCCCATGAGATGTAAGTAAACCACCCTGGGAGCAGTGCATTGCTGGGATGGGACCCAGAAAACAGGTAGGATATCCAACCTTGGAGACAGCACAGGCTGGAACAAGACCTTGAGCAACCTCCCCTGGCCCCTTGCTGTGGGCAGGGAGCGGAGCAGAGACTCCAGAGCTGCCCCCATCCCACTCCTTGCTGTGGTACTGTGAGCTTACCACGTCTGAAGCAAAGCATCTCCCTGAGCCACCACCACCACCAGCTGCTTGCACAACGTGAGCGCCGTTCTTGTGCAAAGGGGCAGAACTGGAAAAATTTGGAAGCCGTTATCTGCGTGCTTCCTCTGCTGCATCGTGCAGCTCACTGGTTAGAAAAGGGTAAGGATTTTTCAAAGGCTGGCAAGACAGTTAGTGCATATCTGTGCCAGTAACTGCATTTCACAATTAGGAACTTACTTAATTGCTCTCAACACTGCTTCAGAAATGATGGAAGTGGGAGGTTTTGAGATGTTTTGGGTCCTGAATGTTCACTTTCCATGAAGCTGCTCCCACATAACCGTGTATGGGCAAGGCCACATCTCTGGGTGAGCCTTCTGCTGAGCATCAGAGCAAGTGCCAAGCCCTCCTGCTCATCACCTTCAGAACCAAAGGAGACTGTGTCTGCTCCTCTAGAGCAAAGAAACAAGAATACGTCGATACAAGCAGAGCAGAGATGTGCCATGACCACCTGGGATATAGTCCAGTGCAAAGCAGAACACCTAACCTTTTTGTTTGCTTGTTTCTTGTAGCCTTTTGTGTTTAGCTACATCAAAGCCTGAAGGACTTAAGAACTTCTCAAGGAGACTCCTCTCAGCTTTGCCTGGTGTTGGGGAGCCAACTGAATTAGGGTGACTCTGCTGAGCGATGGGAGTCTGTGTTCACAGTGAAACTGGCAGGAGGCAGCGCAGCAGGCAGCTCGAGAGCAGCCACTGTGCCCCTCCTGTCACCACGGCTCAGCCGAGGAGGGAGGAAGGAGCACCAGGAGTGAGGAAGCCATCCTGCAGGCACAGCCTCTGGCAAGGGGCAGATGCCAAAATGTGACACCCACTGCTCTGCTTCCTAAGCATTTGTTCCTCAGTTCGTCCCCTGATGAACTGGTAGATGCAACAACAGATTCTTTCAAAAGACCTTAAACAATCCACTTAGGAAACTCCAGCTGCTGAATTCGGTTAGAACGGCAACCAACTTCCTCCGCAGCAGGGCAAGCTGAAGATAAATTACTGGGTTGCTGCTGACTTCCATCGCTTCAGTCTGCTTCAGCAGTCACAGAAACTCCTCCCAGCATTGACAGCTGCAGCAGCTTCACTACTTAAAAACTTTCAATCCGTCCTTGCCCTCACTCCTGTTCTCCACGGGAGCCAGAGGTCCCCTGCAATGCCAAGATCCTTCTGAAACATCGCTCCGTGAGGTGCAGCAGCTTCCATTCCTCCTGTCAGTGCAATCCTGCAAAACCCCCAGAAAAGCCCACAGTGGGTTTTGCCACGCTGGCTGGATTCCCCAAGGACCAAGGTCAGAACTGTCACTCCACACAACCAACCCAACACCAGTGGCCCTTGCAGAGCCCCACGTAAGCAGCAAAGGTCGCAGTTTCAAGTGATCACATTTCCACTGATGGGACTCTGAGGCATCGACTACTCAAGTTGTAAGAGCAAGGTACAGAGTCAAGACCTGTGTTCTGACCTCCAAGTTTTATGTGTTATTTTTCCCCTTTTACCCAAAGAATATTGAAAAATGAAAAGTAGATGGAACAGTTCAGCTGGATAAGAGGGGAAACCACCTTTTTCCTTTTCCTTCCTTGGGGTCAGAAGTCACAGACAGCTGCGTTTCTCAGTTGCAGACATCTTCTAGGCAAACAGGCAAAAAACCTGCAACTCCTTGCACCACTGGAGGAAAGCTCAGTCAGTCTCTTACCAGATCAGAGACCACACAGGGTGGAGGTCCTGCAGAACTGAGCAGCTACAGCAGGTCCACACAGGAGGATGGGACATTGGGTAGCCCAAGACTCGTGTCTGCTGTGGTGGCACTATAAGAATCAACACCAGTAACAATGGCATTTTTGATAATACTTTTGCAGAGGGCAGCAGTCCCCAGAATAACCCCAAACTGGGAGGTGCGGTGGTGGCAAAGCCTCTTCTCTTGGCACAGCCCTGGTTCAGGGCTCCTAGCAGTAGGCTGCTCATCGCTTGGGTAAGAAACATGGGAGCAGGCCCTTGTAACCACCCCTGAGCAGCTGCTGGTAGGGCTCGCACAGGCCCTGCTGCCTGGACAGGCACAGTCACTGCTGGCACAAGAGGTGCCTGGACTCTCTGGAAGTTGCATCAGAAGTCTAAGAAGACTGCAAGTGAAGTGTGGGTTCAATCTGTGAGCTTGCTACAGTGGGGTTGGTCTCTATGGAGCCATTTGTTGTGATAAAGCAGATCATTGTCTACCTATCACATGAGCACAGCAGTGGAGAGAAGTGAGTATCTGCAAGGGAAATGCAGATCTTCTTCATAGGTATGTCCTGCTAGCTTGGCTTGAACGTGGCTCCCTATGGAATAGCTGATTCAAAAACAGAAAAAGCCAAAGCATCTGAAACTTAAAAGTAAAAGCCGTACTTCTAACAAAGCCCATCACTGACCTCTTAATTTTTGCTCTGTTGTGAAAATGAAATCATCAGGGAATGAATGTGGTCAGGATGGAGCCACCAAATCTGATGCTGCTCTGCTACACCAACACAGCGGGGAAGCACGAGCGTGGCTGTAGTGGCCAGGTGCTCCCGGCTGTCTCAGGCCCAGCAACCATCCCTGCTGACCCGCACCCCGCTCGCAGAACGCGTTGGTATCGGGACAGCTGCGTCATGCTCCATGCCCTCCACTTCACACCAGGAGCACCCACACACAGGTAACATCAA